AGGAGTTCTATTTGTGGGGTTCTGGGCCATTTCTCATGGTTTTCCTTCATCCCGGCTTCACTGACCACCTCCTTGATTCAAACGGGCTGCTTTTTGATCGCAAGCTCCTGCTTTGGATCAGGGAGTGCGATGGGTGGGATACGGGGCTAACTTGAAGACTGTCCTTCCACGGGATGACGACTCCAAATTAGCTCCATTACCCATCGCACTCATTGGCGACTTTTTCTACCAACACCTCTCTGGCCAGCTGGACAGCTTTAGTTTTGTTTTCGAGACATTATAAATTAAACACGTTATTACTAGAACAGTGCAGGTCGAAGTAGTAAAAATATGAGAAGAGGTGTGATTGAAGTGAACTGAAAGGTTAGCTTACGGACATATTCGTGCGGAGATGTTACCCTTGCCCTCCGCAATAATCTCATCCAGAAATCCCAGAAATCGAGGAAAAAAATAGTGGCTCAACCACACCTTCGCTAGAGTTTGACATTTTTTCGTGCCATTTAGGTACAGGTAGTTTTCTCCACTGGAGTAATGCACCATGAGAGAGGCGTGACCACCTGCCAATATCTACTTGGTCACCAGTAATTGTCAAAATAAACAACACCTAGATGGTACAAAAAAAAACAAAAATCCGTACTAATGGAAAGTCGATGAACCATGCACACTCACCTTTAGTTTTCTTCTTCTTTTTCATCGAAGATTTGCGTATCGTCAACTGCCGACCAGGACCAGATGAAGGCATGTCGGCGGATGCTTAAAAAACCAAACAGTATGCCTACTCTAACCTCATTTCACCTCGGATGTAACATGAACAAACAGCCCTGATTCAACTGGACAAAACAGAAAGGTATTCTTCTCGAAATATGTAAATATCCAAGTTCCACCACCATTGTGTTATCAGGGGTGAAGCGCGTGCCAGGATCCGTCGCAATGGTTTGGGGATGGGTGCATCTGGTGGAAGTCATAAATGCAAGCGTTAATACTGAACAGTCAATGGAGTTTTTGGAGTAAGAGTAAACTGGGGCAGAGGTGCTCAGAAGTGCTACCGTCGCTAGTTGAATCTCGGTATTGAAAGCTGAAGATCATGTAAAATCCATGGTCTAGAGCTTATAGAGAAAGCTAAAAAAAGATAAAGGATAAAGCATTTGCCGTTGATCAATCCCTTTTTGGGATGCGGCACGCATTCTACTTCCATTTGTACATTCGTAGTGGCGTTTGAATGCGATGTGGCCTATACAATGACTTGCGGGGGCCAGCCGATGTACAAGTCAGTGTTTTTATCCTCCCAGACAAGTCTGGTACCAATTAACCGACCCCGGAGGGATGGAAGGCTTGGTTGGCCCGGGCGACTCACGACCCAGGATTTGATCCCCGGACCGCTCGCGTGGTAAGCGTGCCACTTGCCACTACACCACTTCCGCCCCTGAAAAGAAATAAAAAAGAAAAAAAAAACTGGCATCAAAGGAAGGACCTTCCCAGCTTAGCGATACACTTCACGATCGAATTAATGCGGTAAATGCGCTCGATAATGAAAGTAGAGGTGCAAAGTGGACTATAAAAGAAGAACGAAAAAACGCCAAGTATGCTGACGGGTCCTTTCTCTTCTACAGCATTTTCCATGGAAGTGCCTGTACCACTGCACTCCCCTGCCATCAACGAATATGGTCACATCCCTATCCACACCCGACTGTTTATTCCCACCGTTCTTCCACTGCTACCCATGCTTAAGCACAAACTCACCCCACTGAGCCATTCCATTCCACGCGACCGCGAGGTGAAAAAGACAATTTCTGCCCCTGCAGATGCAGCCCACCTAGTATATAATTCCGAAATGGTTTTCTTCGCTGGTGTGCTCTTAGGTTTTACGCCTAAATTGTGTATTTTCAACTAGGTTTGCCTCCGCTTCCCCCTTACCTCACCTGCCCTCCGCAACCGCGCAAGCTTGCCTTCTCCCTGCATGAGTTTATGCCCGCTAAGTCCCCTCAGTGTGACACATACCACACTTTGGTCTGCTCAGGTGGTGCATAACCAGAAAAAGGTGTTCTAAACAGCAGAAGTCGTCACAAAAACGTACCAATTCATTTTGCCCACATTAGGCATCGTCACACATCAAATTAGCAGGGTTATATGAATGGAATGGGGCCTCTTGTGCAAGTGCGCTAGTCGCAGCCCTACTGATGAAGCCATTAAAAGGAATATCTTACCGAGGACATCTTTTTGCCCAGTGGGTGGTGCTCCATCAGAAGCGGCATCCACGCTGGCGGAGTCGAACGAACGCCAGTTCGCTTTTCCGGTACTGAGGCGGCCCGATTTGTCGTCCTTCGATTTGGCATCTCTGTGATGTCTAATCATAAGCGATAAGCCTAATCCGTTGCACACGCATCAACGGATTCCAAATTGAAGAAAATTATGGAAAACAAAATATTAGGAAGTATATGTTTTTTTTTCCCTAAATTTCACGACTAGGTCACTTTGACTAAACGGCTACTCAAAAAACACTGCAAAATCACATACCCCAGAAGACTCTGAAACCGTGCCGTTCTATAAAAATAATTATGAAATTCCTTGGAGGATAATCTCGCATTTCTTATTTATATACTTTTTGAGTTAATCCATATATTTTTTTTGCAGTCTGTAAACTCCATCATCCAAAATCCTGAGATAAACCACGCATTTGATTACATGTGGGAAGAAGACCTCAGTGGCTGCATACATGTCAGGTCCTTTAAAAAGTTCTGTCCTTTTCGACACACTGTGAATTCTATGTAAAAGTTTTCATTCCCATCAAAAATGTTCCGTTGACAAGATATGCCCTACATTTAAGCTAAGGGTCAAACAAGAGGCTTAAATTCAAAAACTTAGTATGTTCCGCAGCTCATTAGCCAGAGACCCCTGAAGGTCACTGGTGCTCTGGTAATCATTTACAATTCTGAACTACATCGCTATCGATTGAGTGGCCTTTCTAAAAAGTTCCTTTGGATGTATTCCAAAATCTATGGAAAACAGGTTAAATGTGGCATGATTACAAAGGGACTACCAATGACCGAGGAAAACTATGTAGAGCATTCATTCGACCAAATAGACTCAAAACAATTCGAAGCTTTTTTGTGTTTTTTCAGTTTATATATTTCAGTAGTCAAGTTTAATCCCATTAGCAATGAAGTATCCATACAAGACTTTGCAAAACTGCGATGAAAGCTGATTTGTGAACTTTTTCTGATGATATTGGGTCTATTCAGTCGAATATCACACCATTCGATAAAGAGATGATTAGCCAAAGGATAACACAAAGGAAACCGACTTTTTTCGAGAGTGACTGGTATCGCGTAGACGACTGAGGATTCCGCCTTTTTTCTGGGGTTTCTCACGATCGGCCATCTCCCTCAGACGTTCCTCGGCCGCCAGACGATCTTCTTGCGGCAGTTCAGCCAGAGAACCCCTTAAATGTGTGATCCTTAAACATGCAGCTCAACATAGTGCATGCGAATGTCTTCACGATACAACGGTAACAAATTGTCCAAAAAATGAGCTGTCTGTTCCTTTTTGAGATTTGTTGAGCATATGAATGAATTAGGGCGGAAGTGGTGTAGTGCAAGTGGCGCGCTTACCACGCGAGCGGTCCGGGGATCAAATCCTGGGTCGTGAGTCGCCCGGGCCAACCAAGCCTTCCATCCCTCCGGGGTCGGTTAATTGGTACCAGACTTGTCTGGGAGGATAAAAACACTGACTTGTACATCGGCTGGCCCCGCAAGTCATTGTATAGGCCACATCGCATTCAAACGCCACTACGAATGTACAAATGGAAGTAGAATGCGTGCCGCATCCCAAAAAGGGATTGATCAACGGCAAATGCTTTATCCTTTATCCTTTATACTGAATTTGACTGGTCACTGCTTTTCTGAAAGCCCGTCCTACACCGCGCTCTAACCAAGTGATCAAATCTGGTTGAATAAATTGGAAAACTATGCCAAGGAGCTTAGTTAATGACCAGCACGTGTCAAGATGGCTCTAAGTGCGCAATTAATCAGCTGATAACGATACAAAGCCTATAAGGAGCTGGGGGTTTACTATAGACGCCCCTTTTTAGCGCAGCGTATGAACCTTTAACCGCTCAATAGAGGTCATCAGCTGAGGCAGCAGGAGTACTACTTCATCATCGAGCACTATCATTCCGTCTATTAAGACGCGGAAAGTGCTATCGACCGCATAGCAAGCACATGACAACTACGTACACAATAAGCCGTCCAATCTTAAGGGGACGCGAAAGTCGGTAAGGATTTATGAGTTTTGTAAGACAAGCTGCGGAAGTTCAATAGCAGCTTGAATCAGCTAGCATTCTACACGTTTTCAGGCCACACCAATTCAAATCAGCCGCCAATCAACGTATGTTACAGTGATCAGGGTAAAAGAGTAGCTGATACCGTATTGGTGAAGAAGTAGCCTATGAGTTTATTCAAAGAACCGTTTGTTGGCCCCATTGTTTGGCCACAAAGCATCATGCTTATACGCCATCCGATCTTATTTTGACATACTGTAATATGCATGCACACACCACACCTGATCACACGTGCACAACACGACGTTGCATTCGATTACGGTAGTGCGACCTGATAGCGTCGAGCCACGAGTGTCGTTCTTCGCCTTCCATTTTGAGCCACGTGAGCACAGATTCATCGAACGAATAGAGACCGTAGTTCATCAATGTGAGCACTCTACGACGTTGACTGAACGTGGTGGTTAAGGATTACGGTATTAGTGACACGACTTTGGAGACGGTATTAGTGATCAAAACTACTAGCTGCACTAGATTATGCATATGACGAACTTGGTCAGGGGATAGCAGCATTGAATAAGAAGTGGTAATAAAACAAGCTTTAGTGCAAGTTTTGAATCACAGCTTCATTACCAAGACAAGGTGCAGCCTCGTGCTATCGCAAGTGGCCATTTAGGCCTTTAAATTACCAATAACTGAGCGGAGGGCAGCTTACAGTAAACTCCTTAACCACCACGTTCAGTCAACGTCGTAGAGTGCTCACATTGATGAACTACGGTCTCTATTCGTTCGATGAATCTGTGCTCACGTGGCTCAAAATGGAAGGCGAAGAACGACACTCGTGGCTCGACGCTATCAGGTCGCACTACCGTAATC